GGCCTTCTTCGGTAAGCGGAGCAGGCGATGCGGAATGAACCGCTTAGGGATATGTGGCGTCAAAACTTATGGGCTCATTCTCGATACGTGAAAAGGGTGTTGGTGGATAGGGACAGTTGGACGGTGGCCATGGAAGTCGGCATCCGGCTAAGGAGTGTGTAACCAACTCACCAACCGAATCCACCGGCCCCGAAAATGGATGACGCTCAAGCCCAATTAGTGATTGCCCATTATCCTTTGGTAAGGGCGGCAAAACTTTTGTGAGAAAGTGTAGCCCTTCCGATGTAGATGTGGCGTGGAGGTAAGGACGAAGCTGATGGCGTGGGCCTCAGATGGACCAGCCTCTAGTGCAGATCTTGGTTGGCGTAGCAAAGATCTAACGGAAAATTACTTTAACATGCAACGTTGGATACTGGAGAGCGGGGGAAGGATTTCGTGCCAAGTTGTCGGGATCCTGCCTCTCCTTGTCTTTCCCCGCAGCCTTCACCGCACGACCGTCCTCCCTGCATGCATGCGTGTGTGTACTGCCGCCGCCTCCGCTTCACTTTCTCTACATGGAAAACGCCGGAGCACTGAAAACAAACTAAGAGAGGGGAGGGAAGGGAAAATAAAAATACGTAGGGGGACGAAACGCACACACACACACACACACACAAAGGGGTGGGCGCAGTCACAGCAAGCAAGGAAGCAGGCAAGATATATAAGTGTAGGCATAGATGTATAGGTATATATATATATATGTTTGCCTCGAGGAGGCCGCGTTACGCGTATTCCTACGGGTAGACAGTCGTAGTACTTGTGGAGGGGATTTGGGGCGCATGGCGCCCAACTTCTCAGTTCCAAGGCGATGCCTCTTCCTCCCCCCGCACACACACGCACCTCAATCAGACAAAAGTCGAACGGTGTTCCTTGAAAATCGGGCTCTCATTGTAAACCCCCAAACATAACACTCCGCGGCACCCCCGCCCGCCCGCCCGCCACGCAGCCGCCGGGCCGCTACTCCGTCTCAGCGGCGGCAGCAGCGGTCGTAACGGGAGGGCAAAGCGGCAAACAAAAACAAAAAAAAAATCGTTGCATTCATGAAAACAGCAACAGCAACGAAACAAATAAATCACCCGTGCCACCTTCCAACGCGGCATCGCCGCGAGTTAAACAAAATAAATACAAAAGACACAACAGCAGCGGAAGCAGCGTAACATTTTTTTTTTACGTGTTTTTTTTTTAAATGTTTCCTTCGCCTCTTTGATCCCCACCACGTGCGGGGGTGTGCGCACGTCTACATCGTGCTGACCTCTCTTCCTATCTATCTCCCACCCACCCGCCCGCCCCACCTGTCCAGAGGCAGAGGCAGAGGGATTTGGCGGGAAGGAGAAAAGCGCAGCTGCGCGCTGCTGCCCCACAATACAAAAAGAAAGAAAAAAAAACAAAAACTGATTACACCCTGCAAGGTTCGTACTTATGCGCGTTTTCCTTCTATCGTTCTTTCTCTCGCCAGCCCCTTCTTTGGCCTGGCAAATTATTTTATTTTATTTCTTGCCTTTTCGTCTGGCTCTTGGCCCACAATTGCCACCTCAGCCAACGAGGGCATGCGCGGTTACTTTCCATTCGGCGGGCCGCCGTTCCTGCTGGAGCCGTTCGGCGCTGGCGTTGGGCTCACCATCGGCCGCGAGGTGTGTCCTCGCACAAGAAACGGCCCTACCCACTGCTGCGCCCCGCCAGCGTCTTCCTCTATGGCCGTGGTTGTGGCTGTGGCGGGGGACGGCGCTTCCACCGGCGACGGCTCCTGACGCGGCTGATGCAGGTGTTGGTACGGCCCAGAGCGTGGCGTCTCCTCCGCTGCCCGCGCGTGCGTCTCTGTGGTCTCCGTCACTGCCCCAATAAGCGGAGGGGGCTCCTCGCCACGTGGCGGCTGAGGCGGTGGGACAGAAGGAATAAAACGCGAAAAGCGGTGCTCGTCGTCGCTGGAATCAGTCTCCACGACAGGCTGTGGCTTGGACCTCCGTTTTCTGTTGCGTTCAAACGTCTGCGGCTCCTTAGTGCCCACGTACCGCCCCAGAGTCTCTTCATTTCTATCCTCCGCGGATGCCGCGGAGTAGTCATCACGGCCGTCAATGTTGGAGTGCTGTTGTGGGTTGTTCCACTGTACCTGCGCTGCCGCAGCATCGTCGCGCTGCAGTGCTGAGACCTGCCAGGAAGACGGCGGCGCTGTCTCCGGCGAATGCAGCTGCTGTTCCACGGGCGCGTTTGTAGTGTCGCGGCGAAGAAAGCGGTAATTTGCACGGGGCGGCATGTACACGGCCTTTGGCGTACCCTGCGGCGCTTCCCGGCGCTTTAGCATGCAGACCCGCCACACCACCAGCAGCAGCAGCAGCAGCAGGATGAAGAGGAGTATCACTCCCACAATGAGCAGCGTGGTCCACATATCTACAACACCACCAGCATGATAGTTCAGCACCACGTTAGAGAGCAGCTGCCAGCGTGCCTGTTGATCACTGGGCGCAAAGCAAAGATAAAAAGGTCCGCCCGGTTTCGTTACAGAGAGCTGCAGGTGCATGTTGGCGGCGTCACTGCCGCTCACGCTGGCCACCCTATCCACGCCTTTGTCACACTCCAACGTCGCGCGTACGCCGTACTTGTTGTCGGGACTCAACCCAGAACCCATTAACATGAGGACGATGTAACCGCCGCTTCCCTGCTTCGCTTCTATGGAGCTGGCATAGACAACTGTGCCAGAGGCGGCGGCGATGGAACGTAACTGTGGCAGGAATGTCACTTCCACACCAAAAAGCTGCGATGCCGCCGGAGGCGTCGCATTCTGCGCAATCGGTGGAACCGCCCCGTGAATGACGAGAGTGGGACCCCACGTCTCTTTGGAAATGGGCTGGGTGCTGCCACCTTGGGGCATACTCACCAAAAAGTCCTGCGGCACCCCGTTGACGGTCATCCCTCCCCCCCGCAGCGACAAGGTGCACTGAAAGCTTTCCACTGGCGCGAACCACGCCTTCGACCCCGTTGCCACCGACACGCACGTCAGGGTGGACTCCCCGGATTGGGGCTCGCCAATCACCGTAAAACGCGACGGGCTCCCTTGCATTGGAACAAACACACCACTTCCTTGCGCCGAGGGCACAAAGCCCAGGATGGCCAGGGTCCGCGCCACCTCGGCGACGTCCACATGAAACACGTAATTCCCGTCCAGGTTTTCTGGGTAGGCGCCAATGTTGACCGCCTTGTCCGTCGTCCTATCGTCGTTGTACTCGCGCGAGATTTTCATGTACATGGGCAAGGCAACAATGTTAACCTCCACACCCTGAATCCTGCGCCGCCCTTGTGCGTAGCAGGTGACCTTGCTATTAAACCGGACCATCGTCGTGGATGGTAGATCCGAGGAGTCGGAAGCACATGACAAGATGCTGCCCTCCTCAGGCTCTGACCCAATGCGAACAATCACTGGCGAATGCATGACAGGCCAACTCTGCAGCGGTGGGGCCGCCTTTGTAGTGATGGAGACAAACTGAATCAGCGGCATATCGTACGGTGGAAAAACCGTAAAATTATACCACGGGAGGCCACTGCTACTGTGGGGGTCAAGCACCACCTCCGTGCTCCTTCCCGCGTTAAGCTGCACAGTGTACGCTGTGGGCGCCAACGGGGACTTTGCCGTGATGACGCATGTGATGTTCGCCGATGGATCATTCTGACCCGAAGAGAGCAGAGGGCGCTCAATAATGCCCACCGGTTCACACGTAACAGCCGCCAACCTGTTCTTCTCCTCAGCTTTTTCCACAACGAGATTCGGCAGGCTTGCCCGAAGACGCACACCACCGCGCAGGGTAAACTCCGCCTCCATCGTGTACTCCCCCGCTGTGGAGACTTCGATGACAAAAAAGTAAAACTCACTGTAGTTCTTCTGCATGTACACCGTACCCCCAGTGAGAAGTTCATCAGCTGCCTTTCCATCCGCCAGCCACAGGTGCATCACCACGGTGGCTCCAAGGTCCGACGTCGGCTCTCCGGCGGCATCTGTAAGCCCCACCACAGGCTGCGGGGAACACACCTCCAACGCCGAACACGACGGCCGGACAGTAAAGACTGCTGCCGTGGCTGTTTGCACTGATACGTTGACCGGCTCTGGCAACAAGATCGATGTAAAGCCCGGTTTTCTGTAACAGACGGCATACGTTCCTGGCTGCGTGGGTACCGTGATGTAATGGCTGGTGGTGCCGTCCTCGCTGGCACTTGACACCGCCGTATATTTCCCACGCGCGCAACTCGCACTTTCGACTTTTGTCCCTGGCAAGAGATACACCAACGCCGCCTGATCGCTTGCCTGCAGTCCGTGGCCCCTAAACTCCAACTCAAGTGGCGCGTTGGTCAACGCCACGGACTCCATCGTATAGCTTAGCACCGCGGGGCTCACGTTGAAGTTATTTGCTGTGATGGGAACCGTGGGCTCTGTGGACGCCATGGCGTGGAAGCACAGCGTGTACGCGCTGGCAGTCTCGAACAGCAGCTGGTAGACAAGAGCGTTGAAGCCGTATCCCGCCTCGGAGGCCACCGCCGTCACACGTGGGGTGTAGCTTGGATTGGTACATATGTCGGCGGGTGTGTTGCGCTCCACAGGAAGCCCTACTGCCAAAAGTTGATCGCCCTGCGACAACCCCCGTCCCTGCAAAATGACGGTGGCGTTTATGCCGACGACCGGCGTCGCAACGAAGGTGACCGACGTGACTTGCGTCAAGTGCACCACAGGCCCGGCGTGTGACAGGGGCGGAAAGATGGTCGGCAACACGGCATCCTTCGAGAGGTAGCAAAGGGCATAGGCCGCCTCAACATCCAGCCGCGCCGTCCACACGCTGCTCCGATGTTCATTGGGCTGCAGCACAATGCGATCCCCACCGGTCATGGTATTGATGCACGCCGCCGCCACCTGCTTCATGGTGGTGGCCGCGTCGATGTGGGTGGGCGTAAGCCAAAGCTTCTCCAACGCCCTCGCGGCGGCACCCGCTGGACGCAGCAGCTCAATCTCCACTTCATCCGACGTGAACACCGTAGCAGGTGTCATGGTCCAATTGGAAGGATTTGCGGCTGCCGCCTCCACCGTGCCGACGATGCGAGCGCACTCCTCCTTAGCGTCCTCGTCGCAGCGATCCACGCGGTGGGAGTAGCAGATGTAAAACGTTCCCGCCCTTTCAACGGCAGTTGTAACCACCACGTGGCCGCCTGCATCGAGAACGTCGATAAACACGCTGCTGGGGGATACCGGCGCGGTCAACCCAACGCAGGCATCCGGGTTTGCCACAAGCACCACGTAATCAAGTGGTGTGGGGGAGACGGTGAGGTTGAACTGAAACACCTGAAGCGCTGTGGCGGAGACGGGTGCACTCAACGAGGGTGGAACCCCCCGCACCACCCGCGCCGCAGACTCCGACAGCATTGTGGTCACCCCCACATCGTAGTAGCAGAGTGCGAGTGTGACACCGCCCTCCGTCGCGGAGCCGGCGCGGAGTCGGGCGACACCGTCCCGCACAACGGTAACGCCGTAAGGGAATTCGGCTGTTGATGGCGCCGGCGTCACATAGTAGGGGAAGTCGTTGCACTGCTTCGCGCTGTAGAAGGCAAGGGCATCCTCCGCCGCAGGCGGCTGCCTGCTTTTAATGGTCCACGTATTCATCTCGCCGTCCAAAATAACGTCTCCATGTTTCGCCGCTGTCGCGGCGTACGGGTCCGCCACGCCCAGCACCAAGGCAGCCCCGGTCATAACGTGAAACTGCCCGCCGTCAAGCTTGTAGCACACCCAGTAGGAACCCTCAGCGCCAGGCGAGGAGCGGAAGGTCTGCACCGAAAGCGTACCGTTGGCAACCAGCGGGTAGTACTCGACACCTGCCGCTGTCGCGACAGTCTGACACGCCCCATCTGTCTGGGACTGTGTGGAGGGTATCAGCTTCACCTGATCCGTCTTTCCCGCGCTTGGGTCCGCGATGAGACCAAACCCCCAAAACACACTACTTATCAGTTGACTGGTGCGCAGCGCGGTGGCGGGGGGCACTGTTGTGTAGTTTAACGGGTTGGGCCTAATCACTACCTTGTCAAAGCCCCAAATAATGATGTGACCGTTGGCTTTCCAGTAGCATAATGTGTGATCCCCACGCGTTTCTGCGGCAATCTGAAAGAACAAATTCCTAGGCAGCAAATCCTTGCGAGAGGGCGCGGTAATAATAACGACCGGCGACTTTCCAGGAGCAAGGCAGGAGAGGACGCCGGTGTACAAGGCAACACGATCGTTTTCTGACAACGTAGATGAAGCCTCCGCGGCGGTGAAGTTGAGTGTGAAGAGTTCGCCCTCCAGCGTGCTTACAGGCGTCTGCACAACCCCTGCCGGGTCACTCGTGCTGATGACGAGGTCACCGTACACGAGTGTCCAGACAGTGTCCGTGGCGAGTCTGTAGCAAACACTGTACGTGCCCGTGCCGGTGCTGCTTATGTTTAGTATGGTGCTAGTCACTGTGGCATTTGTCACGGTCCATCCATCAGCGGTGCCCGGGATGGGGTCCGTGGTGCCAAAAGCATGCGAAACAATCTCACTGGGTGGGACGGACGCATCTTGGCAGAAGCTGGACTTTGTAATAATCTTCACCCGGTCCCTCGCCCCGAGAGATTTGCCTGCGAATTCAATGTAGTTCAGCTGCATCGTCCGTGCCGGCGCGTTCCGCACCGCGAAGCTGATGGGGTTGGCCGGCTGCAGCAGGACGGTGCCGCCCCCTGGCAGATTCGACCAGGAGCCATGCTGTAGCTCGTAGCAAAGACGCAGTTGGGAAATACTCGAAACATGCGGCGGTTGTGCGGCAAAGAAGACGCCACCTATAACTGTCTTATCCGTCGTGCCATTGACAATCTTCCCGGCATCTGCAGGGAGCCCCCAACAGGAGGGAAGGTCCATTTGCACCGCGGCACGGTCCTCGCCCGGTGTAAGCCGGTGGGCACCTTCCTCCTGGCTGCGTGTAAACATCGCACGCAGCATCTGCCCACGGCGTGGCTTTAACGGGTCCACATCAAATGAAGCGGGGTTGTACCCGCCCACAGGAAACGGTGGACCCACGTCCTCGACGCTGCAGCCCGCCGACCTGTAGCAGGCGAGATGTGTGCCGCCCTGTACGGGGTCAAAGGAACCCAGCACCTGCGTACTGTTGCCGTAGACGCCGTACGTCGTGGGGGCTACCGCGAAGCAGCGACCCTCACGGTACGCAACGGATGCCGAGAGGTGCAGTGCCGTTGCCGCATCAAAGCTGCCATCGTACTCAGGACCAGGCGAGAAGGGGCTGGGCGGCAGCCTGTCAAACGGCTTCAGACCTCCGCTCCCTGAAGCTTCCGCTGCAGTAAACGTCACCACCACACGCTGCCCTGCGGTTTTGCTGTCTTGCGTACGCACTGATGCAATCAGGCGCGGGGCCACCGTAAACTTCGAACGAGCCCGATCTGTGGCATCCAGCGGGACGGCAAACTGGTTCCCCTGCGTGTCCTTGTAGCAAAGGCGGAATGTAGTGCTGCCCGCACCCAACAGAGCGGCAGGGAGGACAAACGTGGGGCCGGCTTTCGTCACCGGCGTTCCCGCAATCTTTTGTGCTGCATCCCCCACCATAATGTCACTTGAAACCGTTTGCGTGCCGTTGGCGTAAATGCACTGATCCTCGCCAGTCACAAAACGAAACGTGTCCGTCAGCGCAAACTCAAACCCGCTCCGTTGCGACACAGTCACGGTGAGACTCTGCCCCAGGCGCAGGCAACCGGTGAAGAGGCCGGTTGGTGTCGGCTCCGTAAATTTCAGTCGTGTGCAGACAGGGCTCCAGTTGGAGGTCGTACTGTCCGCCCCACCGATACGGTAGCAAACCTTAAACACCCCCGCAGTCGGGGCAAAGGCAATAACAGCTGTCTTTTCCGCATCAATGATGCTGACACCAGTGAGAAAGACGGCGGCGTCGTCGGCAATGCACAGGGAGGACTGCGGCACCATCCGCACCGCGTCATTCCGCCCGCGCAGCGTACTCGTCTCCTTGGTACCGACAATGGTGGTCCGCAGGTACTGTAGCGCGCGCGCGCCTGCGTCACTATCGGGGCCCGGGATTAAGCCCGGCAGCGACGTCACACACTCCTTCACGGCGGCGGCAAGCACATCGATGCCGTTCATCACCGGGGCCCAAGTGCCATGGGCCAGTTTGTAGCAGACGACACGCTTCCCCAGGCCGTGAAGGGGATCAAAGGTGACATCGACCAGGGAGGAGCGCGTCACGTTGCTTGGCTTTAACACCGGCGCAGGGACGGTCGCGAAGGAGGTGTCATCTGCCATAAAAAGGTTCATCACCGTCGCGGTGGAGGTGTTGTCAATGATGGATGCTACACAGTCATCTGGCGAGGCAACGAACGTCACACGATCCCCCACGCCTACCACATCGTCCGCCTCGGAGGAACTATGCGTGAAGGTCATACGAATGGTCTGCATCGCGCGGATAAGGTTAGGGTCGCTGGGGAACGTTGTCAACATCATGTACGGCCGCACCCGAAACGTATTCGACGAGCGTGCCGGGTTCACTGTGCCGACTCGGGAGTAATAATCCTTAGACAACTCCGGCGAGAGCGCACATACAATAAACGTCCCCGGCTTCTGCGTGTGTGTGTACTTGAACTCAAACACATACAACGTGTGAGACTCCACGATCATACGCCCATGCACGGGAAATGCCACGGAATCAGTGCAAACGGTGAGAGAATTTTTGTACGAGACCAGCTTCACATCTGTGACAGGGTGCTGTTCCATGGCGGGGTCTAGCTTGAGCTGTAGACGCACCGTTTGCCCCACGTAGGTTGGGTCTGGACTTGGGGCAAACCAAAGCGGGGAGGCCCGCAGCGTCGACACGTAGCACTCGCCTGACTTCTCGCTCACCTGCTCACAGGTGCACACGGGCCGTGCGACGCCGTTGTGTGTGTAGCAGATGAGGTACCGCGTGCCCACCATGGACACGGGCCACTCCACGCCGTATGTCACAGTGGTGTCGGTGCTGCTGAGGTGGTGAGCACGGCCCTCCACAAAGTCCGGGTCGTACCCACTGCTGCAGCTCGTCGCACTGGTGCCGAAGAAGGAGACACGCCAGTCATCGTGCTCCACGCTGATACCTTGTTTCTTCTCGAAGGTGACGTTTTGCTGCTGACCAACACGTACAGTTTCCTGCTTGAGGCATCTTATCTCGCCCTCCACGATCTCCAGCAGCGGCGACAGCAACGCCGCCGTGGCGCCGCGGAGCCGGTAGCAAAGGTTAAACTTGCCTAAAGTGAGAGAGACCGCCGGCTTTGTAACAACCCGCTCTATCGTAGAGGCTTCCGCGTCCAACTCAAATACGATGCAACGTGGGCAGTTGTCCGGGGTGACACCGCAGGATTGCGTCGAAGGCGCCACCCACACCGCGTCGCTGGAGGCATCCAAGCTGCCGGAGCCGTCGTCAAAGTGTAGCACAAACGGCTCAGCAAAGACAAGAGGCAGGTCAGTCACAGGGCTCCAACTGCTTGGCACCATCGGGAAGACCTCAATCACACTCGTGTCAGTGGAGCCACCCACAAGGCTCCACGCGTGTGCAGCCGCACTGTAGTAGCAAACCTGAAACCGTCCAGCTTGGCTGAAACTTCGGTACTTAAACTTGTCCTCCTTATCTACGAGAGTAATACTAGCTGTCTTTGCTTCCACATCGGGCACCACCGGCATGTCATTCGGAAAGCCTGGCGCAGGCTTCAGTTGCTCGCACGCCACATCGGCTTGCAGTTCAGCGATGCGCACGAGGTCCTTCGCGCTTGGCGCCTCCACCAGCTGAAACGTCAGCGTCACCTGCTGACCCACGCGTGGTGGGTGGGGGAAGGGCCGCATGGACGACGGATTGGGGCCCCCCACAACGACTTCACGGACGGCGCCGGTGGGCGTCAGAGCAACATCCGACCACGGCGCAGTTCCGTAGCGCACACACACGCGTGCAGGACCGGCGGTGCGCCACACCGCAACGTCGAGCAGTGACTCATTGACAATCTTTAGCAGCGGCTCCTGTACCTTGGCCACGGTAAAGTTTTGGCACCACGATTCGGGGCTGGAGTCAACAGCTGAAATCACCGCTGCCGCCACGAGCCTCCGCGTGTCGGCGTCGTGGAGTTTGATCTGTATGTGCTGCCCCACACGGGCAAGTCCCACGGGCGGCTGAAGCGCCAAACTTCTAGGGACGGGGCTGGCAAGCGAGAACGGCATCCCCACCTCACTCCATACTTTTCCACGGCGGTAGCAGACGAACAGTTTCGTTTGCGTTGTCTCAACAAACTGGGCCGCCAGCGTAAGGGAGGTTCCCTGCGCGGTGTGGGGTGTGGCGTCGAGAGCGCTGACACGCCGCACAGACGAGGCAGAAACGGGCGGCCACGTCGAACTGCTTGCGCACGACGCGTTGGTAAAGACGACCGCGTCAGTTGTAGGGTCAAGTTCGGTGCCAGTGAGCGTGAGGAGCAGGTACTGCCGCTGCTGTTCCGTTCTCGCAGGTGTGTTCATCACGTACCCTCCAGGATTCGGTGCTGTAAGCTGCAGCAACTTCGGCACCTCCGCCACGGTGGCTCCGGCACGCACGTAGCAAACGACCGTCGAGGTTGCCGTGAGATGCGGTGGGAGACTGAAGGTATACGATGGCAGCACTGGCCCGGGTTGTGCCAGGACCATCGAGGTGTTATCGTCGCAGGCGTGGTTCGTCGTCAAGGAAGCCCCGGCGTACCCCACAATTGAGGCGGTGTCCCCGTCGGCCGCGCCAGCGAAGGTCATACCAATGCGAAGCATCCCACTGAAGACGCTCGGGGGCACCGTATCAAAATTGGACGGGTCCGCAGGCTGCATCACCGACGGGACAGACGGAAACGGCACCACAACGAACTCTGCCTGCCCATTCTCGCGGTAGCAGAGCGTGAAAGACTTGGGGAAGTCGCTCAGTGGCAGGGCGGCAGGGCCCAGGGAGGGCACATGTCCCTGCCAGAAACTTTCCGTGGGGGTGACCCCAGCGACGTCGGAGGGGCCGGCAAGGACACCAGTCGAATTCATGGTGGCCGTGTCCCAGCAAAGGCGATCCACCGTCACGAGCATCGCGGCATCGTTTGGCTTCGGGGTCTGTCGGTAGGGAGAAGGGTCGCGGCTCGCCTGTTGCACTTTCTCTTCTTTCTTCTTCCCCCCATCTAACGTACTGTTGAGCGTGGGATGCTCAAACCCCGTCACAGTGACCCGTAGTCGCTGCCCCTGAAACGTCGACTTGGGCTCAATGGTGAAAGCGGCCGGGGTGTTCTCCACCGGGCGTATAGGCTGCGCCCCCACCTGCGCGTAGCCGCTGTCGGACACGCGGTAGCACACGGCGTAGGCGGCGGTGTCGTCTATGCCTACCCGCAGCTGAATCTTGCTTTGCGACACCGTGGCGGTCCCTTCCGGGTTGCCGTACGGCAGCGTGGCAGCCTTTCCATCCCAGCAGCTGCAGCCGGCACACGCAATCATTGCCGTGTCGCCAATGTCTCCCGTGTAATCAAACGTGACCACAGTGGCCCGTGCCCGCATTGGCGTGTTACTCGTCACATAACTCGAGGCTCCCCCCGCCTTCACCTTCAACGCTACTGGCATCAACGCGTAGCCCGCACTCCCCTTGACAAAGTAGCACACCGAGTACTGACCCACTCGCACCGCGGCCGCAGCGAGGGGAATGTAAAAGCGGCTCCTCGTCCCCTCCGCCGCGGTATCGACAAACGTCCCCACAGCCACCGCGTAGCTCTCGTCGCAGTACATCCCTTCCGCAAGGATGAAGACGCGGTCGTGCGAGGTCAGGCCAGCGCCGTGAAAGGTGAGCGTCGGCCGTGTGCCGAGGCGTGGCACAAAGTCCGTTTCGTATTCCATCGGGTTTGTGTTGCCAACGAAAAACACAGCGAGGCGCACCAACAACTGCCTCGCCCGGCGGTAGCACACCGCCATTGTGACGTTTTCGTTAAGAGCCCGCGTAAACTGCAGCTCCATCAGCGTGGTGTTCCTAAACTTTTTGGTGTACACGGCGGATGGCAACTTGGGCGGGGTGAGTGTCTCCCCGCACCGCTCGTCGCACCGCGTCGAGGCATCCACGACGTACACATCATCGTGCTGCGAAAGCTGCATGCCGTAGATCCGCATCGTGAAGGGCGCGGTTTTTGGTTGAATGAACCACGGCTCCGTCTCAACCCGCGCCGGGTTTTGTGGGGCAACGTCAATTGCACGGGGCGCCACCACGCGCGCCACGGCGTCGGCAACCAGGCGGAAGCATATCGTGTACCGTGTCGTCCTGTATCCGCCGGGCAGCTGCGACAGCCACATCGCCAGGTCTTTTCTCACGAGGCTGTGAAGCACCGGGTGTATCACACCAGGCGCAGTGGCAGAGGCCGCGTCCCCGCAGTCGACGTTGGGTGGAAGCAGCAGAAACTCATCCTTATTAGAGAAGGCGAGCTTCGGGTACGTGGCGGCGGCAAACGAGAAGTTAAACGTCACCGTCTCCAAAAAGGCAGGGTGACTTTCACACGTCGACGCCTGCGTTGGAAGCGCGGGGTAGATGGAGAAGGTCAAGAGCTCGTTCGCCGCGTCCGTCACCAGGGCGTAGTTCGACTCGTTCGCCCCCTTGCGGTAGCAAAGGTAGTAATCGCCAAGCGAGGAGCTCGTGTTACCCGTGAAGAGGTTAAAGACGGTGACGTCGCTTGTACTCACAGTCGCATTGGCTTCTAGCGTGATGGAGGCGAAGGCCCCTTTGGGGGCGGTGCACGGGTTACCGTCTGCCCCTTGGCTGAGCGGAACGAGACGCACGGTGTCCCGCAGACTCAAGCTGCCGCCGCCGCCGTTGCTTGAAAACTTCAACGCCACACGATTCTCAATGAATGCGTACGATGGTCCAAAGCTGCACGGATCGCACGGCGCTACGGTGAAGGTTTGGCCATGGGCAATGCGTGGGTCCCCCTCCGCCGCATGAGGGCCCAGGTACAACTGATACTCACCGGCCGCTGCAAGTGCGACGGTGAAGGAATTCGCCACGGTGGTGTTCTTCACGTAGTACATGGGCTTCACGTATGGCGGATTCGCCTCGCACAGCTTCTGCGGGGCATGGGCGAAGCCGACGTAGCTCACCACCACCTCTGTGACACTGCTCGTAAACGTCAAGACAAACGGCTCGTATGGTCGTGGCGCGGATGGGGTGGCGGTGGGACCTCCAAATGGACTTGCGACAAACATGACAGGCTCAAAGAGGTACGAAGGGGGATTCACGCGCCGTGGCACCTCCGCCCACGCACCACGCTTCAGGCGGTAGCACACTGTCACTTGCGTCGTCGCCAGCGCACAGAGTTGGTACATGGCATCCGTGTTGTTGCTCGCGGCTGTGACGCGGGCAAGAAGCCCGATATCTGGACTGGTCACAGCCGCCGCAGAGCAGTCAAACCCGACGATGCCGCTGCCACGTTGCACAAGCTTTACCTCATCTTTGTCCGTAAGTAGGGCGCTGCTGGGACTGTCACTAATGTGCAGGCGACCTACCTCCGCCGCGTAGAGGGACAACGGCTGCACCGCATACGCGTTAGGGTGCGGTGGCCCGACACTAAAGTCGTTCAGCTGCGAGACCCACACCCACACATTGGCCAGCGAAACACTTTGGTAGCAGATGATAAAGACGCCAGTTGAGTTCACCCGTGGCATGTACTGCGCTTGTGTGGGACTCACCGTACTCACCAGGCTCCCTTGTGGCCCATTTTTTTCCTCGGCGTCCGCGTTTGCCGCCTCTGCTGTGCATCGGGAGCTGTGGTTCGTCCCCGGCGTTTCCCCGCTGACATTCACGACCTTCACGTGGTCCGAGTGTCTAAGAACGTTGCCAAGGATGGTGATGTTGAGTACCTCGCCCATGTACGCCGGGGACGGGGCCACCATGTAACTCTGCGGCCCCGTGAGACCAACGGAGAAGGTGACGCCGCCTACCGCGTTCGGCACCACAAAAAAGGCAGTCTGATCGTAAACGCGAAAGCAGACGTAGAAGTAGCCCTTTACCTGGATGCGTGGCTGCACCGTCGCGTAGGTGTTGTTTGCTGCGTCGAAGGTGTCAAACCGTGTCCTGCTACCGCCCGAGGGGGCCACGCCCGTCGCGCAGTCCGGCATCGCCTTCCCACTCACCACATCCGGTGGCGCCACAAACACCTGCGCCACGTTCCCCGTCACGGTGGCGGCGAAGATGCCGTCCAGCGCCCTAAAAGCCATCTGAAAGTCCGCTCCCACCCCAATTACCTCCGGCACGATGTACGCAGTCGGCGATGAATTTAGAACCTCCAGCGCAGCGGTGTGCACAGCGGCGGCGTGCTGCGTCGACCCCGAAATCTGCACACACAACTGAAAAGGGCCAGCGCGCGGAAACGGCAACAATGTGACATTCATTGCCAGGTCCACCTGCAGTGTAGTATCCAGCAGGACAACACCCTCGGCGGGTGTGCCTGACGCCTCCTCCGCCGTCGGGCGGTAACACTCATTCACGACGCTACCAGCAGCAGCAACAGCTGCGGAGCCGTTGGTGAAGAAAAGCTGGAACACATTTTTGACAGTGTACCTGCTGCTGTACGTTGGCGCTACGGCAATCGACGGGACCCATGCACGCGGGTGCCGTGGCACAGTTACGTAGTCTGTAATGGGAGCCTCGCTCACCCGTACCATGGCGGGGCTCTCCAGGTCGCCAATCATCTCATATTTGTAAAACGCCTCCCCCGCATGTCGACCGGTGCGCTGCATGCAGACCACAAGTTCTGTCGCCTTGGTGGTGGCCAGGATGAGGTGCAGATAGGGGACGACTAGGCCGGAAGAGTTTTTAACCACCACCGGCTTGTAGTGAAACGATGCGGGAATGGTGGCCACCTCCGCCGCGGTCAGCGGCGAGCTGCAGTCGGGTTTGGTCGAGAACAGCACGGCATCCCTCGCGCTGGCGTTGCTGTCGAAGGAGAGGACGGGGTCCAGTGGGACGTCCGTGTCAAACATCAAATAAAACCGCTCCCCACTGAAGACATTGACGGGGCCACCCGTGTTCTTAAAGATGCCCTTGGGTGACTGCAGAGAGAAAATGGTCAGCAGCGGCGGGTGGGTCACGCGCACCGACATCCCGTTCCGCACCGACATGTAGCAGACGACGTATGTCCCATTCTGCGTCTGGTTGGCGGGAATAGTCCACGTCGTGTCCTTACCCGTCTTCTCCAGGTCCCCGCTGCGGAGCATAGGCGTCTCGTCGCATGTTGGCTCATGACCTTCCGCGGTCACCAACAGCAGCGCGGCGCGATCTATGATCTGCAGAAAGTCCGGTTCGCTCTCATTGCCGACAAAGGTGATGCGCAGCGTCCGTGAGGCCTGCGGCTGCACCGGGGAATGAGTCCACGCGCTGGGGACTTGTGGGGTCAGGCGAAAATTGCGGTCCACCAGCGTGCCGCGGGGGACTGTCGCAAAGGTTCCCCCGCTGCGTCGATAGCAGACGGTCAGAAACTTGCCGAGCATTTCCACAGGCAGCGTGCCCCCGGTGACAATCCCAGCGTGAGCTCCAGGGGACAGGTCGGGAAGCACCGGGAATTCCGCGACGACGGTGACATTGCGGTAGCCGCAGTCGTACAAGTCGCCGTCGATGATGGTCACCGCGTCCGTATCCCCAACCTTCCCATCGAGCAGGGGGAAGGTGAGGGTGAACGGCTGGTTGGGGAACGGGATGTTGGGCGTCGACGCGTACGTCGACGGGTTCGCCAGGGTGGCGGTGAACGGCACCATTCCGGTGCTCTGGGTGACGCGGAAAAGGCCCAGTTGCACCTGCAGACACAACGCGTACGTGTCTGCCGGTAGTGTAAACCGTGCCCCAAAGTCCGTTGACGAGAGCCGCTGCAGATTCAGCAGAACCACAAACTCGGGGTGGGCGTTGGCTGCTTCGTAGTACGGTATGTAGTTGCACTCCGTGGTCACCGAGATAACTGCCGCCGAGTCGAGGTGGTCCACTGGGTTCTGGGCGAAGGAGCCACTCACCATGAGGGCCTCATACGTCGACAGCGTGTGGTCCGCGGTGAAGTTCGCCGCGGTGTACAGATAGTACAACTCCCCCAGCACCACGATAATGCCATGACCATGCGCCTGCACCAGCCCAATTTCCGTTGAAACAGTTCCGAAGGTGTAGCATACCACGTAGTTAATTGCCCCTGCCGCGGTGAAGCGCACCACGCCAGTCCACTGCATCCCATCAGGGCTCACGGTTGCCGTGCCGACAGCAACCGTGACGGCACTCCCACCGCACGTATCCCTGCGTACCGTCACAGTATCTGCAGCGGTGAGGCCTTGTCCAAAGACGGTGACCGCGGAGTACATCCCGACAGCTAATGGGTATCTATCGAAGGAGGCATTCACCGGGTTTGGCGGGAAGAGGCTGAGAAACGGTTCCGACTGAATCGGCACAGGAGCCCAACTGGTGCCGCTGCGCATGTAGCAGAGGCGCATGCTGCAGGACACCCCGGGGTTGTCGCATAGGGAGGGGTCGGAAAGAAGACCCGCACCAAAGCGGTGCTCGCGATCTGAGACAACCCACGTCGCGCTGGTCCCGGCAGTGTTCACTATTATCGGGCTCGGACTTATGCTCGGCGCAAACCACGCGCGCAGTGTTCCATTGCTTTGCAGCACGTTCGTCCCAAGATCATGACAGGTGTAGCCCTTGTTGGTAAGCAGAAAGATCTGGTCCTTCGACGTCAGCCCGGTGCCCACCAGCGTCAGAGTGACCTCAGAGACTTGATTCACAAAAATGTTCGTGCTGGACGCCGTGAAGCTGGAAGGATTCGCGGCTGCCACTGTAAGAGCCCCGGGCACACGACGGCTGTTCACCATCACGGCACCGTAGCAAGCGGTAAATGTGCCCTTCGGCAGATACTGATTGAAAAATCCCACCACCGTAGTTGTTTGGCATGCGTTACTGGAGAAGGTGTTGCTGACATTCTCCCAGCAGGAGGCCATCTCCCCTGGCACCAGCCGCAGCGTCGTACAGACTTTGCAGCGTTCGTTGGAGCACGTCAAATGCACCGAGGTAAACTGCCCTGCGGATGGTGATGCAGGTGTGGTGGTAAAACTTGCAGGGTCGGCCGCGCTCACAGTCAGTGGTGTGGGGGGATGCAGAAGATCGGAGATCAACTCCTCGTAGAAGCTTTCGTTGGCAAGTCGATAACACATGCGGTAGTCACCAGCCCGATTTACCACCACCCGCTGAATGTAATCAGTCCCAGTGCAGGTCGCTTTACCAACAGGCTCAACATTACCGCCTAGCTCCGTGTCACTGCCAAGCTTCAAGCACGTTTCCGTCGCGGGAATAAGCTGTATCTCGTCGTTTAGGCTCAACCTGCGGCAGCCCACGCCCACGCAGAGTTGCGTGACCGTCAGTGTGATGGGATACCCAACACGGTTGGTGCCACCCGCGTTTTGGGCTGTGTAGTAGGTGGGCTGAGCCATGCCCACGCTTAGCTGGCCCATGTACGTCGCGCTCCCGGCCTTAGTAGCGTTGTAGCAGACGACGTAGACGGCGTCGTAGTCGTAGTTGTCAAACCCTTGTGGCTGCGTCCACGTCACCGTGCTGGCAGAGGCTCCGGGCACCAGCGGCACGCCCTTGTACGTCACCTGCGCCCACCCCAAACACCCCAAGCCGCAGTAGCAGCTGACGCCCACGTTCGACACCGCGTCAAGGCGGTAGAAGAACAACTTATCGCTTTGCGCCCGAAGTTCGGTGGTGTTAGAGGTGAAGCTCAGTGAAACGGGCGCACCGGCGCGAAAGCCATCATGTGGAGGCGACAACGTCGTCATCTCCGACGGCAGACGTGCCGCAAAGGTGAGCGAGCCTGCGTACGACACACGCTTGCCGGCGTCCCACACGTAGCAGAAGTGTACCTCATCCATCGCATACCGAAGGTACGATTGACTGTACGCCACCGTGGTGGTTGTCGAGCTCAGGCCCGGCAACATCTGTGCGAACAACGCCGTTTGCACCACCGTACTCGCAGAGGGACACACGCGCGCCGAGGCAGACAGCAACGCACCACCCAAGAGAGCCCGCACCGTGTCTGTGCTGCTGTTAAGTTCGACACCATGAAACGTCGTGCGGAGCGACGCAAACGCGACGCGCCACTCCTTCGGCGTGTGGCTCCCCATCACCGGATTCGCGGTGGTCGTCTTAAACGCAAAGTTTGTGGACTCCCCTTGTTGTCCTTGCGGCAGCACGGGAATGTATGTGTTCCCGCCACTCAAGGCGCATATAATGTAGCTTGTGGTCGCCGCGCCAGCCAACATATTAGCTTTCCTGCCGCTTAACCCCGACATAAAGTCGTCCGGGTTCTGGGCCACCTCGCATGCCGTGATGCGGGCGCCGTCGCGCGTGCAGAATGCTACCGCACAGGCGTCATCCATGCGCACCAGCTTCAGAGTGCTAGGCATCGTCAGCAAGAGTGTTAGGGTAACAGTCTCTTTGGCAGTCACGGGGCTATTCGGCAGGGTGTAGCGCAGATCATAGAGACTGACGTACAGGTCCTGCGGAGGGCACTTTTCGGTGACCGGTGTTATCACCTTCGGACGTGCGACGGACCAGGCGGAGTAGCCAGAGATCCGGTAGCATATCTGCAGACATTGTCCACCGGTGCCAACCACGTCGTACTTGTACGTTTTACCAGCTTCCACCTCCACCCCGTTGGCGACGGCGAACGTCGTGACAGGGCTGCCATCGGTGCAGCTTGAGCCGCTGGGAATGAAGCGGATAGTGTCAGTGAGGGAGAGCTCCTGCCCCCAAAAAGGTCAGCGTCCCCTTCTGGCCAGCGTAGAGCGGATACGGGCGGATGCTGAAGATGGGGTCACGATTCTGTGTGGTGATGCTACCATTAACCCGGGCGTAGCTGGGCACGCCGCCCTTGCGGTAGCAGACATATAGCGTTAGCCCCAGATTCGACAGGGGGTCTATGATAGCTGTGCACTGTGGTGCAGTGCCGCCGGTAAGTGGGCACGGAAACATTGTTTCCGGCGACGCCACGGAGTCACAAGCCGTGGACGTTGTCAAAATCACCGCATCCTGCGCAGCATTCAGTCCCTCACCTGTAAAGAAAAGGCTGAGAGGCCTCCCCGTGTAGGGCACTTCCGGGGCCACCTTGAACCCGGTCGGCTGCAGGATCTCAATCACAAAGTCAGCCACCTGCACCTGCGGATCTCTCAGTACGGTGGACCATAATTCTTCGCCCGCACGACGGTAACACACAGTGCCGCGCATGGCGCCCTGTATAAGTTCCGGTGCTACGAACGTGATGTTCACCGCATTCTTGCCAGCGGCTGCAAGAGTTCCAAGCTCTAGATTATTCAGTAACGACGGCGTCTTAGACGCGCATGTATCCCCGTCCCGAATGACTGTTACCGTGTCCTCCGCCGTCAGGCCGGTGCCCTGCAGCAGCATGTACCCCTTCTCACGTGCCTGTGGCGCGGCGGGGGTGAGCTGATAGGTGAACGGGTTTGCATTGGCAAACTTGATAGCCGGGACCGTGACAGCTGTGTAGGACATCTCCACACTTGTGCCACAACCCACAGTGGCGTCGGAGCAGTAAGGGACGCAAACTGCGTACCCGTCTGAATCCGGGACGTACGGCACGGTGAAACTGCCTGTGACCAACGCCGTACCCGCCCCGCGCAGGTCACTCAGCTGAATGCCTTTGCCGGTACCGCTGGCGCACAGCTGCGGTAGCTGGTCCATCTCGCTGCAGTCGGCGCCTCCCCCCACCGAACAGGGGAGGAGGAAGATGGTGTTGGGGCCCGTCAGTCCCTGATTGAGGGGACGACCCTCCTGGGGCTTCTCATTCAAGGTGAGGACCACCGGCCCCAACCCACCGGACGCCGACGACGGCCGCATCTCGTAGTGATCGTACAAGCTGGGCCAGACTAACAGAGCGGAGCTTGTGGCGGGCGAAATCAAGTGGGCCTTCCCCTGCGTAATGTAGCAGATACGGTACGACACACCCGCGGAAAAGACGGAGCTCCGCACGACGATCGTAGAGTACCCGATAAGGCCCAGGCCATTCAGCGGGGTGACGTTAAACGCGTTGTGGGGGTCCCCGCTCCCCCGGGCATTGCAGCTAACGGATGAATCCACATTGATAAAATAAATCTTGTCACCTTCGCTGATATGCGGGTCACCAGCGAACGGATTGCTGTTGAAGCGCATCTGCGCGGTTTGGTACAGTGAGAGCTGCGCAACGTTGGTCGGCACAAATGTCATGGCAGCCTCGGCCACACCCCCGAGGTTTGCCACGCCCAGCAGTAGCAGCAGCAGTCCCACCACCAGCCCAGCCACGGCCCGAGCGAATGGCGATGCCGCCCTGCCTCTATTTCTTCTTCTACTTCCGCTGCTGCTACGCCCTTCCCGTTGCTCCAGCATACACTCAAGTCTATGCGTCAGGGCACATTCCGTGGCACACCCGCAGGGACGCTCCCTCCTAACGCCCCCATCTCCAACCTTCCCAATCATTTCCGCAGGGGGCGAGAGGGCACAGCCACACCCCCTCTGCCCTCGAAAGAAATGTGCCTATACAAATTAGGCCACGAAACGCCTTGATCCTACCCTATGGATTGCGCACGCCCTCTCTATCTATCTATCTCTTGCCGTATGCAAGCGACGCTGTCTGCAAAGCACAATGGAGTGAGGGTGTCCGGTCTGGTCGCGGCCTGGAGGCGTCCCACCCACGCTTATTTTTTTTTTTTTATTGTGTGTGTGTGTGTCGGCTTATTTATGCCTGTCCTCTACTTCTCTTAACTCGTGCGCTTCTCCCCCTTTCTCTCTGTCTCCAGCTATGGATGTGTGTGTGTGCGCCCTTTTCTCCCCTTATCACTTCCCTTCGTCACTGCAGTCTCTTCCTGCAGGGCGTATGAACACAAGACTGCGGGACGCCGACCGCTCCTTATGTACCCTCTATGTAAATATCTGAATACTTTCACCGCCGTCACAGGGGTGGAAAAAAAAAAACAAGAAGGTGCGAAGCAGAAGGCGTCACACAACGCACCGGGTCCGCACACGTACACCAGTAAACATGTAGGCGTGGACGCATCCACACACAGACACAGAAAGAAAAGGCTGGCTCAAACATGTGTATGTATATATGTATATATACGTGGAGGTGTGTAAATAATTACAAAAAAAGTATACGCGTGATGCGTGTATGTATGCCGTACATGCAGGAGTGCTGGGCAAGTGTTTTGCAGACAGTATAAGAGGGGGTTCTGCTCCCTCGCCCTCACCTGTTTTTTTTTTGTCTCCCCTACACTGCATGCTCGTTTTACCCCCCTCTCTCTCTCTC